ATGGTGCTGAATTTTATGAAGTCTAACGAATTCTGCAATAAGTTGGTTGGTAAACTCAGGGCCGTTATCGGAAACTATGGTAATTGGAATTCCATGATGTGTGCAGAAAATTAGTAAAGCTTGTACTACACTGACAGCAGTGCCGTCTCGCAAATAATACGCCTGAGCATATTTAGAAAAACTATCTACTATTGTCAAATACTTTTCCCCTTGAATTGTTAATAGATCTACGTGAACTAGTTCAAAAGGCTTAGAAGCTGGTGGTACAATTTTAAATTTCTGTTTAACTGGATTGCGGTCGTATTTAGCTTGTCCGCATACTGTACAGTCATTAATAAATTTAGTGATATGCTCTCTCATTTTCGGCCAGTAATATTTGCGGGACAAAGCCGAGAAACACTCGTTAATGCCTCGATGGTTCGTCTTTCCATCGTGATATTTATGAATGATTTCTTGCTGTCTTAAATACTCCCTAACATTTTCCAATTCAGTTTTTGTTAGAAAAAGGTTAAGAGATGAACTTTTAAAAGACTTTTGTATGATTGGTATGACAGTGTACATTGCAGAGTTTGGATTAATGAGTAATCCTGTCCTAATTTTCGGATGGACGTATTCTTTTATAGCATTAATGACATCCTCTTCTATGTTTGATTGAGCTATTTGTATCGTAATGCGTGTGTGTGTTTCGAATGGTTTAGTGATGACTGGTCTAGCTTTTATGTCGCCTACTATATTTAAGATTATCTGTTTAGTAAACTTATTTAGCGGTTCGTCAGAAATGGGAACTTCCAGGATGGGGTTTTCTTTATCTGTATGAACGGTGATGGTTCTGGAATCGTCTGCGGCTTCGGTAGCCGTTATAGTCCTAGAGTCATCTAAAGTGTGTACCCCTTCGGAAGGGTTAGGTAAAATGGAAAGCAATTCATCTATTATGGGTCTTAGCTCGTCATTGTGAAGTTCGATGCGCGATAGTGCATCGGCATTCGTGTTGCACTTGCCTTGCTTATATACGACACTAAAGTCATATTCACTTAACTTAAGGCGCCATCTGGTTAGACGCGAATTGGGTTCTTTTAAGCTCATAATCCATTGTAAGGGTTTATGGTCTGTAATAATTTTGAACTTACGGCCGAATAAATAGGGACGGAAATACTTAGTCGCCCATACGATAGCTAAAAGTTCCTTTTCTATCGTGCTATAGTTACTTTCGCTGGAGTTAAGTGTACGAGAAGCATATGCAATGGGTTTATCTGAACCGACTGTTCCCTGTGATAAAACTGCACCAATCGCCACGTTTGAGGCATCGGTTGTCAAAATAAAATCTCTACTGAAGTCTGGATACTGTAAGATTGGGTCATTTGTTAAGAGAGTTTTACAGTGTTCAAAGCAGTTAATATAATTTTGATCTAATGTTATCTTTGATCCCTTTTTAAGACATTGAGTGAGTGGTTTTGTGAGACGTGCGAAGTCTGGTATAAATTTTCTATAATATCCTAGAAGTCCTAGAAAACGCTTAATTTCGGTTGTAGTTTTTGGCAGTGGGTACTTTTCGATGGCTTTAATTTTGTCTGGGTTGGGTTTAACCCCGTTTTTACAAATAACATGACCTAGAAACTCGGTTTCCAGCTTCAAAAACTCTGATTTATCCATCTGAATTTTGAAGTTGGATTCCCGTAGCCTTTTGAATACTTTTTCCAGATTTGTCATATGTTCTTGTAAGGATGTACTGAAGACAATTATGTCATCTAGATACACTAAGCAAATTTCGTTCTGTAAGTTCTTTAATACGTTGTCCATCACCCTTTGGAAGGTCGATGGACTATTTTTCAGGCCCATTGGCATCCTAAGAAATTCGTAATGCCCATTCTCTACATTAAAAGCAGTTTTGTGAATGTCCGCGGGATCCATTTCTACCTGATAAAATCCACTGGCTAAATCGAGCGTGGTAAAGTACTGACATTTGCCCAGTTTGTCTAGAACATCGGTTATATTAGGAATAGGATATTTGTCATCGACTGTCTTTTCATTCACCTTCCTGAAGTCCACAACTAGACGCCATTTTATTTTGCCGGAAGCGTCCGCCTTTTTGGGTACAATCCAAATAGGAGAGCTCCAAGCAGAGTCCGATGGTCTAATTATATTTTGCTCGAGCATCTTATTGATCTGGTCTCGGACTTCCTGTCGGTGGACATACGGGTATCTGTAGCTCTTAGTATGTACGGGGATTTCATCATGTGTTTTAATTCTATGTTTGATCTTGTTGGTGAATGTTAAAGGTTCACCATCAAGGTAAAACACGTCGGCATACGAGGCACATAACCGTTGTAGGTTTGCTAGCTCTTCAGGATTAAGATGATCGGTGCGAAGACGGGATAGAACATTTTTAGCGCGATCCGATAACGTTTCAGTAAACTGGCACTCGACATTATATATTTCGGCTTCTACCGGACGGTCCATTGAAAAAATTACATCATTTGAGCTATTATTGGTAATTTCGACCCAACCACGATTATTAATTACTTTCGTTATACAATCAGAGATTATGCAGTTGCAAATTATTTGATTTTCAACTACTACGTCACCGTCCTTTGAGTTTATAGGCAACCTAACTAATTTTGATGACTGCGCGGGTATAATTTCTTCATATAAATTTGCGTTACGTGAGTCATACATTTCGATGGGGATTTTTGCGTTACGAGTAATAAGTAATTTATTTCTAAGATCGATATTAGAACCCCATATGTCTAGTAAATCAAACCCTATCAGTCCGTCGAAGTAATTATGAAATCTATAAATGAACAAGGTTATATTATCTCGTTCATTAAATTCTAAAGGGCATGGGAGAGTTATAGAATAATCGTTTTTACTTGTCGCGTGAACATTGGTGACTTCGAATGGGTCATAATTCAGTGGAATATGGCTAAAATATTTTCTTACAGCTTCGGGACTAATAAACGATTGGTTTGCGCCGGTGTCTATTAAGAATTTCAGTGGGGGATTACTTGTCTGAATGTAACCGAGTTGCCTTTGTATGTGGAAATTTATTTCTATTTTTGTTTTTCTGGTTTGGGGCACTTCCGAAAATCCTCATCATTAGTCGGGGTGAAATTAGTCTCTACTTCCTCTACGATAGGAGCTTCCGCGTGGTTATACGGTGGCTCGTATCCATAGTTAGGATATTGTTCGTAAGTACAGTACTCTTGATTATAGTTATAGTCAGGATAGTCGTATTCATAGTACGCGTCGGTGCTATAGTCGTAGTCAAAATCCGTCTCGTTAAAGTTTACCTCCCGTGTTTTAAAGTAATTGCTCGGCGGTGGGTTGCCAAATCGTCTCCAGTCATGTCCAGTCGGTGGTAAGGGTTTCGGAACAAAGGGAGTGACACCGCTCATAGGAGAAGGGCGCGAATTATTATTTAAATTGAAGCCCTGTGGTTGCTGAGGTCTGTTAGGAAGCTTAAACACATTACTCTGGGGGTTATAATTTGGTGGAGGAGCACGCATCATCTGTTGCGTACGAGTGGGTCCGCGTGGTACATGCATCTGGGGTGGTAGATTGGGCCTCCAACCCTGTGCAGCATGCGGTTGCATAGGTGGCTGTCTAAACGAGTTCAGTATATTATTACCCTGTGGTCTAGGTAGTGACGGCATGTTAAATGTGGTAGGTTTTGGAACGAAATGATTTAATGGTAGATTAGAGCTAGGGGTAGATTGAGTCCATTCTTTCCTGTTCTGGCTGCCTTCATTTCGTTGTTGGAGGTAAAGGGTGTTTAATTCCTCCTGTACGAATTCAAGTGCTTTCTCCATACTTTCGGGACGCATACATCTTATTCTAGACCCTAGGGGGTCTTTTAATCCGCGTAAATAAGCTTGCAAGGTCAGTTTTTTATAGAGTGCGCGCTTAGCTTCAATTGTCGTACTAATGGTTTCATGTAAAGTGACATAGGTCATTATTGTACTAAATAAACTTTGGACTCGCTCGTAAAATTCTTGCGGGGTACTAGACCCTTGGGTTTGTAGTGATAAATCACTGTATAATGCGGTTTCGTCGCGATGGTCGGCGAAGTTATTTATAAGAGCGCTTTTGATGCCGGCCCAGGTTTCGGGTATTCCATTCGAATTTATTAGCCTAGCCGCGGATCCCGTTATTTTATTTAAAATCCCGTTAATAAGAGAAAGATTGGCTAGTTCGTATCCGGGCTCATTTCTTACGTGGGCTAACACAAGTTGATCGCACAGGTTAATAAAGCGCGTAAGGATGTACGGGTTACCGTCAAATTCGGGCAAAACTCTAAGTGACTTATAAATTAGGTCTATTTCATTTGATTGGGCCATACTATCGGTCTCTAAACCTCTGTTCTCGTCTATAATACTAAGCTTAGAAATCCTACTACTATCTAACCTAACGTTCCGTGTTCCCCTTGGATGGAAAATTTTGGAAGCTTTATACTAACACAGTTAAAATGCAATAAAATACAATAGAAAAAAAAGGTGTATATAAAATTAGGATAGAGTAAAAAAATTAATTACGGAACTAGGAAGGGTAAGGATTGAAAGATTCAAGCACTTACAGCATTACTTCTTCTTGCGGAATCAATGCCTGGATTCGCCTCTGGACTGGTGCTCCCGTAGGTTCTGTATCTTCTTGGTCACTCTTGATTCACTGACTCTACTTTAGAAGATCCTACCGACTGCGCCAATTATGTGGGCTCCAGCCAGAGGTTGCAAAAAAAAGCAATCTTTATTTAATATATATTTAATTTAAAGTAATTATTACAATTAATTCTTATAACTAAGTGAGGTGACTCTAATTCGATGTTTGAATGTAGAATGAATTCACACGGTAAAATATTAGATCCAGGTAATATAAGACAGTAGACACGTTATGCTGACACGGCGCCTCGTGATCGTCGTAAGCCGATGCAACGCAGCAGATTGCCTGGATTAGGGCTGCGTAACACACTTAAATATATTTTTGTTACCATGCTGTTAGTTACTGACCTTATGATGGGGTTCCACTTTCAACACAACTGGTGGTATCATAGACACTGCTTCTTGTCTTGAAACACCTCCTGCAGCTGTTTCTGCTACAAGGAAATTGTGGAGTTTGTATAATAATTCATTTCTGCGAATATCAGTTCTGGATAGGCGGAGTTGCCAGGCTAAGCCTCCTGGATACCTAAAAGAACAATAGAATAGTAATGTTGTAGAGAGAAATCTTTATTCTATTAATGAAATATTATCTTCGTAAATGTTACCTTTTGTATCACTTTTACAAATAAATAATATCATGTGAATTTTAATGAAAATGTTACCATAGTGTTGGCATTACATGGCAACCAATTTTCCAGAATACTCTCGCAGGACTAGACTTCTATTAAGTTTTGAAATTATTGATAATATAGATGTTGCAACATGGTGATGAAAAGATAAAACGGGTCAGTTAGTCAAAAAAATTCCATAGTATGAACACATGGGTATTTGATATTTAAAACCAGTCTTCCATTAAAAAATTCAAGTGACAAACGAGCACACAGTCCACCTGATGGTAAGTGGATGCTGTGGCCCATAGACATCTACATTCAGATGCGCCGCCACCCCTGAGGACTGAGAAGGAATGCCTCGTTTCCAGTAAAAAGGGTCACCGGTTCTCTACACTCACCATACGAAACACAGCAGCATTGAGCTGCTATTTTACGCTGGTATTGTGTGAGAGCGTAGTCCTACCCCGGTCGAGCCGACCCATTTGTGCTACAACCACAATATAGCTACAGCATGGCTCTACCACTTAAAAGTACCACCATCTGTCCTATTTCTGTTGCCAAACAGCAGTGTGTGCACTGCTGTGTCTCAGTATAAAGGTGTACCCTTTAGAGAGCCAGTATAATTACAGTTGTGAGACATTGTCCAGTTTTGAGGTGTGTTGGACTGCAGTATGTTTGTCACTTAGATTTTATAAAAAAAGGGAGGTGGTTATTTCTTAGACTTTTAAGAACAAATTAATAAACATTAAACACTGATACTCTACTCATGCTGATATAATAAAAGGTAGCAACATAACATCACATATTAAATAAACATACATTTTTATTAATATTATTATTAATATCAAGTGAACATTAATTACAGTAACAGTAAAATGCATACTATTACCATTACAGCCAACGAAAAGTCCACTGTTGAATATAGGCCTCAATCATAGATTCACTTGCAGGTGGGATATTTGCCATAATTGACACACTTGGCAGGCAGACTGCCATATGCTGCCATAGACTGATGGCACAGACAGATAGCAGACACTACTACCCATCTTCTTATTTGTTTCCCTTTGTCACCTCTTACAACACCCATGGTACAAAATGGGGTAGTGGATATTCTCACTACATAGTCAAGTGAAATCTACATACATAAATAACACTAAAAAGCCTTTTCTTTTAAGTAAAAAAATATTAATTAAAGAAATTCGAACACATCATTCTTGGTTCGTAATTTTACACTAAAAAAATCCTTAATCTTTTCATACATCTTTTAAAGTTTTGATGAAAAATCACTATTTATCTTATCCTAGATTACTAAAATATTGTAACAATTACAACGGCAAAATCATGATTACTAGAAAAGAAAGAAAAGAAGTGCACGTCATTCCTCCATCCCCCACTTCAGTGTGCCTTCCGAATTACGTCCGTCTGTGTGCCACGCACTGGCATTGTAGTCGAGTATGATATGTGTTTTGAATTGCTTCTTCTGTGAGATCTCATGGCTCGAATAATTACACAATCCTGCCCACACGCAAAATACGTGCATAGACATGGAGTTGCGGAAAATAGCCCATCGTAACCTAAACTAAAACTTGTGTTTTGAATTATAGCAAGTGTGTTGTAGATTTTACGAAAGTTTAGTGTTTGCATGAGTCTTAAACAAATGTAATTTTACTTGTTTTTATCACTTTTTACAAAGATTTTATGTTGAATGGCTTATTTTGTTTTTATATGTACATATACAATATAATATATTGTTTTAGATGTCTCGAGTTGTTGGACATGATTAAATTAGTCAGATTGGAGGCGGTTAGTCATGATGAAGATGACGATGAGAACGCAAAGCAGCAAGAGATACTGAGTGAGCCAGAAGACATCTTAGAAGTGTAAGAACATCAGCTGACTGATGGTGATAGTGAAGAATACACAGTGCCACCAACGCCAGGCATCGTAGAAGGTTCTGATTCTGATGTTCCTATTTCTAGTTACCAAAGCGACACTGGCATATAGAATCTGATTCTTCACAATCTGAAGATTCTATGCACATCATAACTGATCAAAGTAGTCAACAGAGAATGTAACATGGTCCCAGGGTTATTATAGCAAGAAAAAAATTATTCGAGGCATAAATGGACAAAAATAGATTACAAAGCATAGACAGCTAAGAACGAGAGCTACTTCTAGAAATATCATACGTTTTGTAGAGGGACCTCAAGGTGAAGCACGTAATATCTTGAAACCGCGTGAAATGTCCTCTTTATTTCTTAGAGATGAAAAACTTGAAGAAGTAGTCAAATATACCAATGATGAAATCTATTTAAGAAAGTCAAACTAATCCAATATCGCGGCAAGATATTAAAGAGCTCATAAAAGGTATCTTAGGTATTGAAACTATTTTAAATTGGCAATTATACAGGAATCAAATTCTCCAAAAACATGTGCCTTGTGCCTGTTTAAGGCTATAAAATACAACTAACTTGAAATGTAAAAGAGCTATATGTAAGACGTGCAACATGAATATGTGTCTAAACTATGTAGATAAAAAAATGTGTACTATTTTCATCATTGTGTGGTCTCATAAACCCAAAAAATGTGACTGTAATTTCTAAAATAATTAAAGTTTATGATTCGTAAATTTATTCCATTTTATTGCATGTCATATTTTTTACGAATATTTAGTAAAAACGCCACTTGCAGTATTGTTTAGTAATCTAGGGTTAATCATACATCATTTTCGAGATTTTTCGATAATTAACTACTTGACCAAAGACTATTCACAGTCAAGAGAAAAAGCAACTAATTAATATAACTATATACACACCATGGTAAACTAATGGGTTTTATCTCTTCTTCCTCTTCTTTATCCTCATTTTTTATTTTCATATTTAGAATATCTGAGAAATATTCACTCTTAACAATATTCAATAATGCATCAGCCTCACACTTGGACCCAGTTATACGGAATGCTGTGGGTAGATTTTCTTTTAGAGATGTCATGAAATCTAACCATTCTTCTTCCGGGCACACTTTTTGATTCTGTAAAAAAATAAATAAAGGTAAGCTTATAACTAAAAATCTTTACACTCTAACTGCGTAACTAATTCATTCACTATTATTTTGACAGAAATTTGTTTAAAAGAGCTTAAACAATGTAATGAGATATAATTCTGAGAATTATCACCACCATGCTACCACAGAAAACAGCAGAGAACTTTCGACTGGGCTTTGTCGCCCGCAATATTCGCTATCTGCTGCTGTTACATTTTAGTGAGCTATAACTACAACATGTAAAATAATATCTTCAGATGTAGACTTGTGAAATGCCGCCATATTATTTTATATAAGTATATACATTCATCATCACTGTAAGCTTTCGTTGGCTAAATAAATAAATAAAATAATTCCTGCAAGTACCTTGTAATATTCTTCAAATGCTGCATTTTCTCTCACTATATCCTCGTAATGTTTACGTGTATCAGCTGCAGGTTTCTCTTGTGGATTCTTTGCCTAAAATAATAGAAATTTGTAAGCAAATTTCCGATGGTCTTTCGGTGTTCAATTTATTAAGAGTAAGTTTGTTACCTGTTCCTTCCGTTCTCGCTTACGTTGTGCAAATTTATTGACGTTACGGTTTCTACGACCCATTCTTTTTAAATATTGTCCAAGTGAAACAAACCTTTTCTGTGTATTAGGACTAAAAAGCCCGAGAATACACATTCACAGTATTTGTTTTCAGGTTAGATTATATAGGAATACGTGACAGGCGTGACAGTGACAGCAGCATAGAGATATAGAAGAAAGTTGCAAAGTTGAAAGCTTGGGCTTGGGTAAAAGTTATCGACATTTATCGTCGATATTTGATATTTATCTGCCGACTTCCAAAAAGGAGCCGGTACTCAATTCGACTGTATGTTTTTTTTTTCGTTTTTTTTTTTATGTGTGTTACCTCAGAACTTTTTTCTGGGTGAACCGATTTCGATGATTCTTTTTTTATTTGAAAGCTGGTACTTCTCGTGTGGTCCCATATGAATTTGATCAAGGTCAGACCAATAGTTTTTAAGTTATTCTTAAATAACTTATATTGAAGTCGGCTGTACAAAATTTTTAATTTTAAATTATTTTAGAGTATTAGTTCGTTTCAATTTCGATATATTTAAAATGATATATTTATTTTATAATGTAATACACAATGTAATTTATTACACAAAACAATTAAACAACAAAAGCTACTACAAAAGCATCCATGTGCTGTTGTTTTTTTTTCGTCGTCAAAACATCCAGTAATAAAATTTTGGCCTTCATCCTAATACATCATGCAAAATATGATGATATATTGATATTTATCACGCGATAATTATTATGCTTAAAAATATCGATACGATAAATATCAATATATTTATTTTCACTTATTTATACCTAGAAAGGTGAGAGCTGTGCATAGATTCTCGTTTATTTTCCTTTATTTTTATCTTTTTTATATTTATTGACCTACACTGACCTTCATTCATCATCAAATATTAATTTAATACGAGAATTATTAGAACGATAATGCTATATTTATTGTTCTGACGGAAAATCTATGTAACTTGTTAAATGTCTTTAGCAATGTTACCAACAACTATGCCTCCTCTACACTACTCGCGAAGTAGATCGAAGTTGGACGAGGCGAATAGTGTAGAGAGGTACTTCGATTCGCTTCGTACAACCTCGCTTCGCCTCGGGCGACTTCTGATCACTGTCGGTTTTATGCGCCAGAGTCAAAGGACTTTGCGAAGTACCCCGAAGTTACACGAAGCGTCACGAACTACATTACTCAGCGTACGCCAGTTATGAATATTTTATATATATATAAATATTAAATATGTAAATTTCTACATAATTATTTGTTTAGTTAACGCATTCGTACTGTTCACACAATTAGGTAGTTATAGCAGCTGCCTCTTGAACGTTATTCATGTTAAGGGTGCGGGAGACTCAAGATGACTGAGCTCTTCGCGAAGTAGCACGAGTGTGTAGTCACGTTCTTCGGACTGCGATCAACTTCGACGATTACTTTGTCGAAGTTACTTCGCGAGTAATGTAGAGGAGGGATTATACTAGCTCTCCACCAGATTCAGTTTCTAAAACCACCATACAACTCTTAATTTCCCATCGAACAAATTTTTATGTATTACGAAAGAAAACAGTATGTAAATGTATTAGTAATTAGTTACCGTTATTATTACGTACTGTGTAAAAAAATATTAAATTTCTATGTAAATAACCAAATCAAATAAACTAACAGAAACCATAAAAAATTATCTATGTTAATTTTAGTGACGATGGTCCGTTGTTTTCCACTCGTCTAATTATTGCTTCAAAATTTTCCAGCATCAAGTTTGTAACGTAATTTTTTTAGTATTTTATTTGTCATTTAATAAAAATAAAATTAAAAGAAAACAATTAATTTTTAATAAATTTATTATGGTATTTTTTTCTTATACATGCAGCTTGATTCGATGTTATTCTACTCTTCTCTAAAATCCTCCCTTAAGGAGAATGAAAGGGTCGTCCCGGTTGCTAATAACAATGATCTTCCCCTACATATTAGCAACCTATTAAAAGCCAAGAGAGCTGCTTTCCGGAGAGCAGCACTCTATCCCACCCCCGACTATAGGGCGTATATAGGCGTACGTCTTCAACGAGAAGTCCGTTCACGCCTCTCCAAATTTCGAGACCTCGAAAAGAGTGATCTCATGGATAATATCTCTCCCTCTCATACAGCGTACTATCAGATGGCGAGAGCCCTCCGCATAGACGCTATCACCCACACTCTTCCTCTCTCCCATCCCGATGGTACTATTGCCTTCGAGGACGAGGAAAAGGCTGAGTGCTTTGCAGACAGCATTGCTACTTAATGCTCTCCTAGCTCTCAACCCACCGACCCCTCCCACATCCAGACAGTGGAGGATGAGTTTCGCTGCCGGAATTCAACCCCCACAGCCTCTAACCCTATCACTGTGTTCAATCATGAGATCACATCCCTCATCAAAGGACTGAAGCCCAAAAAGGCTCCGGGCGGGGATGGCATTTTCCTGAGCAGGTCTTAACCCTTTTAGTTATTATCTTCAACGTCTGCTTCAACCTTAGTTAGTTTACCACCACGTGGAAAGAGGTAACTGTTATCCCCAAGCCAGAAAAGCCTCACCACCTCCGCTCCAGTCATCGTTCCATCAGCCTCCTCAAGGCCATGGGCAAACTCTTCGAACGAGTCACCTTTTGTCGCATGAGACTTCATCTATTTCACACTGACGGCGACCCTCTTGTAATCCCCCACCAATTTGGTTTCCGAGCGAAACATTCTTGTCCCCAACAAGTCCCCGTATTGTGGAATACATCCTCAGTGGTTTCTATCCTAGTCACCATAAGACCATCGCGGTCTTTTGCGACATAGCAAAGGCATTCGATAGAGTCTGGCACGAAGGCCTTATATATAAACTCTATAAAATAAGTCCCTGATCGTCTTGTTCGTCTCGTGGCCTCTTACCTAAAGGATCGTACCTTCGTTTTAGATACGAAGGCACGCTCTCCTCTCAAAGCCCTATCAAAACAGGTGTCCCTCAAGGCTCAGTGCTTGTCCCTCTGCTGTATATCCTGTTCACCAACGACATTCCTATCCCGTCAAATGGTGTTCAGTTCTCCCTCTTTACAGACGACACTGCCCTCTACTGTACAGGTATCTCATTACCTTTCATACGGAACAAGATCCAAAAGTCAGTTAATGACTTAGGAGCTTGGTTCCTAAAATGGCGTATCGATGTGAACCCGGAGAATAGCTCCGCCGTTCACTTCGATCATAAACGACGCCTCCTCACTACCATTCCACCAATCCGTATGCTAGGGACCCCTGTCCCCTGGCATACGACCACCAAATATTTAGGTGTCACCGTTGACACGAGCCTAACCTTCGGGCCCCGTGTTAAGAGAGCAACGCACGTTTCTATTTGACTAGGCTCAACAGTATGCTGGGCCAACACAGTAAAATGTCCCTCCACAACAAGCGAACCCTTTATAAAGTCTGTATACGACCAGTTATGACTTACGCGGGCCCCATATTTGCTCACGCTAATCCTAAAACCATTAACGAACTCTAAATAGTTCAAAACCACTTCTGTCGTGTGGCTACCTACAAACGCACCCTGCTGCGCCCGTAACGCCGACCACCATCGAGATTTAGAGCTCCCCACAGTCCAGCAATTTCTAAAAATACTCTCTGAGAACTTTTTCAAAGCCTCAGAGTCTCACTCTAATCATTTCATTCGTGAGGCAGCTTCCTATGCAGCCCCACTCCCCTCTCGCTATAGAGTCCGAGGATCGAGAAACTCTCTCACGGACCTCCCAAACAAGCTTTCGGCTGACCTAAACCGCCTTCCGGTGGCTCAGGCCGATTCTTCTCCCCACTCTTAATTTGCCTTAGTTAGGCTCCCCTCTCAGTGGCTCCTCGCCGCCTGCGCCCCTTTTTCCCCAAATAGGGTCGCTTCCGATTCTGCAGAAAGGCCAAAAAAGTCAATGTCAGTCTCACAGGTGGTGTTTAGTGGGTAGGCACTTAGGTTAAGTTAGTCGCAGTGATTCCCACATAACCACGAAAGCCGGCTGTCGTGGTATGCTTAGAGCATTCACCACCTCCCTTCCTTGCTTTCCGGAGAGTAGCCCTTTCCATTGTATCTGGGCGCAAAAAAATGTTATTCTACAATTGAACTTACAACAAGAACTTTATATGACAAAGAATTTCTCCAAGAACTTGATGTATTGTATTTATAAAACCAAAAAACAAACATTTTCGATCCTCTTTAGAAGTCAGCAGATCTACGGATATTTTGAAATAGCATTCTACGAAATTCTACGGAACTTTTTATACCAATCCACGGATTTGGAAAAATTCTAGTTGGCAACACGGGCTGGTATGGTTATGTTATCAATGATATTCCAAAGTAATTCTTATTGAATTACAATTAAGTCCCATGTTTATTTAATAACAGTTGACACAAGCTAATATGAAAATAATAACAACACACACATTGGTTCAAGACTTCAAGAAGATAGAAGATACTGATAAGCATCTCCGCTAGGAGTAAAAGTATTCTGTGCTGATAAGATAATACAATCGAGAGGTTCAAAATTTTACCTGCTATATAATTCCAATAAAGTGCATTTTTCCATTACACCAACATTAGGTAGGTATATAATAAATTACAACTTATATTCTACCCTGGTGTAAATTACTTTATAATTTGTGTTTCCCACTCCTAGAGAAATCCTACTCTCCTAAAATTACAGGCTCTCCAAAATAGCATTTACTTTTTAATCGGTAATCAATAATACATTTCATCATATTTCTTGTCATAAGAGTATTCAGTATTAAGTACAAAGTTAATGAGATTTACTTCACTCTATCTAAAGGTAAGAAACAGAATTTGGTAGTATAATTTTTTGCTTTATTTAATATTTGTTTCTAAACACTAAAAAATTAAATATTGAAGGTATTTTATGTCTTATATTTAATAATGTAAAATAATTATCAAGATTTTCATCTTAGCTCAATATACACTGCTATGAAACTACTACTGTATATGAAAACCACAAAAGTATTGTAGTATTTCCATGAATACTCATTTAAAAACCTATTCAGACCCCAAGATACAGGTTTATCCTTTTGGTTTGGGGTTCAACGGAAAATATTTGTATATCTTGTCATTGTTTAGGTCACTGTTCTAACATACTGTTATTACATTTTGAAGTGGTAGAGTTACGTTGCAGCTATATTATGGTTGCAGTACAAATGGGTCGGTTTGACTGTGATTCTCACTTGAAGGTGAATGTAGAAGTGTATGGGCCACTGCATCCACTTACCATCAGGTGAACTGTGTGCCCATTTATCAACCTTATTTTATAGAAAAATACATTTGTTAAATAAGTATGCCAAAGTCCCAGCACAGTTACTCATACAATGAGCTTAAAGAAATGAACATTTTGTTTTTTTCATTTTATATGTTATAACTCAAAAAACAAATTCAGAAAACTTAATAATAATTTTATCTTATAAAAACAATACCAACTTGTATTAATAATTTTAATTTTAAAGTTTTATGAATAATTTTAATTTATATTGCACCACTGGGAGAGGAAAGTCGTGATAAAAATTTGTAATATTAATTTATCAATATTGAAGATATTGTTTGACATGCATTAAAATACAGTTACATTAATATTTATTTCTTTTTAAAATTTTGAAGATTTTAAATAAATAATTAAAAGAAGTGGTGAATTTAATTATATCCTTTTCTTACTTTTCATAGATAATCTGCAATGAATCCACCAAAAGGCTTTCAGTTTGCTATAGATAGGGGTGGTACATTCACAGATGTGTATGCACGATGCCCTAATGGTAAGGTGCGGGTCATGAAATTATTATCTGTAGACCCACAGAACTATGATGATGCACCTAGAGAAGCTATAAGAAGAATAATGCAAGAGGTTTGGGTCATTATATTCATAATACAAGTAGATAGTGAAATATTTAATTTGATTTGTAAATTTTCCAAATAAATTGTCAATGGCGGTTTCATAAAAAATATTTTACCAATATATTCTTAAAGCAACTATGAAAAGATTATATTTATATAGCATGAAATTAAACTTTATATTACAGGAGATTGGTAATGCATTAGACAAAGATGGGAAAGTAAATTCATCACTCATTGAGTCAATAAGAATGGGGACTACTGTAGCTACTAATGCATTGCTTGAAAGAAAAGGTGCGAAAATGGCACTTGCAATCAATAAAGGTTTTAAAGACTTATTGTATATAGGAAACCAAGCAAGACCTCACATTTTCCAGTTGGTAAGTTTACAGTGCTAGTATTGTCCAAGTCTCTATCATTACATTTAATTTAGTTTGTTTGTGCAGTGATTAAAGCTTTTGGTTCCAACATTTCTGGATCACAGGTTGGAATGCATCATGGAACAAGTGTTTATATGGCCTACAAATAATTGTTACAATAATGGATATTTGTCTGTGTGATATTTATGTATGAATACACCCCCACAATACAGGAGAAAATACTTGTTAAAAAGATTTTTTGTAATTTCTAAATTTGTGAGAGAAAAGTGCAAACATTATTATTATTTGAATTATCTTGATTATTGATGTTTCGATAGCAAAGATGATGTTCAGAAGTTCTTGTTAATAAAGTTTAAAGATTAATTTAAGATGAGAAGAAGAGCAGTAAAATATGTAAATATACATATTAAACTATACACTCTTTATATATTAACACTATAATCATTGTCATAATGATGTAATTGATACTAAATAACAATTTTTGTAATCACCCCATGTAGTGGCGGGTAAGGATTCCCACTACCCGTACCATCTTCCCGTGGGTGTCATAAGAGGCGACAGAGGGAAACTGAAGCAGAAGATGGACAGCAGCATCTTTCTGGTAACAACAAAACAACAAAAAAAAACTGCAGTTACCAACCAGCCCGCCAAGCGTGGCAACTATGGCAATATACGCCCCATGATTGAAGTGACGAAGAGACGGCTCCCAGTCCCCGGCAGCCCAGCTATTCCTGGCTACGGTGGCGACCATGGTAACGGCGGGGCAGGGGGTGCTAAGAATCTCCGGTGGAGGTTCGGTTGCAACCTAAGACGATTCGACCTGGAATATTATAGGATTATCTGAGGTCCGAAGAGAGGGGGAGGACATGGTAATTGTCGAATCCGGCAACTTGTTCTATCACCGGGAGGGCGACCATCTGTCCCAAGGAGGTGTCGGATTTATCATCCACAAGTCTCTCGTTAACAACGTTGTAAAGATTGAGTGTGTCGACGAGGGTTGCGTACCTTATACTCAGAATCACCAAACGGTATTCGCTGAATGTCATACAGGTTTCCGCACCAACTTCGGCACATCCCGATTAGGAAATGTATGAAGAAGATATGAGGTGGAGGAAATGTATGAGGATATATCTAGAGCCATGCATTCCTCCAAAACCCACTATACAGTGTTAATGGGAGACTTCAATGCAAAACTAGGCACAAGAGAGAACCGTGAGCTGGAGGTGGGAAAATTTTTAATAGGGCAACGGAACCCAAGGGGCCGGCAGCTGGCCGACTTCATGGAGAAAGAGGGACTCTTTATGATGAACTCTTTCTTCCAGAAGCAATCCCACAGGAAGTGGACCTGGTCGAGCCCCGACGGTTCGACAAAAAATGAGAATGACTTCATTATGACGATCAGACAACTGTTCAGTGATGTCTCAGTGATCGCGAGGGTGAAAACCGGTAGCGATCACCAAATGGTGAGAGGCACACTGAACCTAATCGTTTAGTTGGAGAGGTCACGTCTATTGAAGTCAACGCTCCGTCCCCCTCGTGCTCTAATCCAAAGTCCCGAAACCTTTCAGCTCGAGCTACAAAACTATTTTCAGTGCCTAGAAGATTGCAATGCAGTGCACAATATTAATGACAAGCTCGTGGAAACTGTCCATGCGGTCGGAGCTAAGTTTTGCAAGACCCGCCGCAGAAGAACACAAACACTCCGATCACACTCTTAATCTCATGGCCATTAGACGAAATAGATTTGACAGCATACAGTCAAATTATATTTTTTTATACGTGGTAGAGCCATGCTGCAGGTATAGTTGTAGCACGAATGGGTCGGCTCGACCGGGGAAGGACCACGCTCTCACAGAATACCTGCGTAAAATAGCAGCATAACGCTGCTGTGTTTCGTATGGTGAGTGTAGAGAACCGGAGACCCCTTTTTACTGGAAACGAGGCATTCCATCTTAGTCCTCACGGATGACAACGTATCTGCATTTTGATTCGTAATCGAGGATAGATGTAGATGTCTATGCCACAGCAACCACTTACCATCAGGTGGACTGTGTGCTCGTTTGGCATCCTAATTATATAAAAAAAACTGAACAGACAGATCTCCATATGCATGCGGCGGGATTTACGCAACTTTAATACTAATAGTATTGAAGAAGCGATCGAGCGGAACAAGGGCTCCAAAGTATTTGCTAGAGATCTGCCAGTAAAAGCCAACTGTCGTAGTTGAAGACTGAGTGTGTTTGTTTCCGGGACACCTAAGATTTTGAGTGAGATTGAGAGGTTCTGTGGGCAGCTGTTAACGTCATCGTTGGAGCTACACGCAAGTGTGAGTAACGATCCAAGAGCAAGTCTTATTCGACACTGTTCCGATGATATTCCGGACGTCAGTCTGAGCGAGATTAGAATGCCTCTCCTGCACATTAAAAACGGCAAGGCCCCAGGCGAGGATGGAATTACAGCGGAGCTTCTGAAAGCGGGTGGAAAACCGGTACTTGAATTCCTTCAGAAGCTCTTTAATACCGTCCTCCATGGTGGCACTACACTGGAGGCGTGGAGCAGAAGTGCGGTGGTCTTGTTCTTTAAGAAAGGCGACAACGCTCTCTTGAAGAATTACAGACCGATTTCCCTTCTCAGCCGCGTCTACGTGCTGTTTTTGAGAGTCATTACGAATCTTCTCGCATGCAGAATTGACGACTTCCAGCCTCCCGAACAAGCCGTTTTCCGAATAGGCTTTAGCACCATAGACCACATAAATACCCTTCGGCAAATTGTCCGAGGTGACAATTTGCCACTATGCCTGGCGTATGAGGACTATGAAAAAGCCTTTGATTCCGTTGAAATTTGGGTGGTGATGCAGTCTCTTCAGCGGTGCCAAGTTGACTGTCGGTATATCGAAGTGCCGAAGTGTTTGTACAGTAGGGCTACGATGGCTATCCGAGTACAGAACCAGAGCGAAAGCTATCCAACTGCAGAGAGGTGTAAGACAGGGTGACGTTATATCCCCGAAACTCTTAACCGCTGCATTGGAAGACGTTTTCAAGCTACTGGACTGGAAAGGATATGGTATTAACATTAATGGCGAGTACATCACTCACCTTAAAATTGCCGACGATATAGTCCTTATGGCAGAATCGCTGGAGGACCTAAGCACTATGCTCAATGACCTCAATAGTGCCTTCTAACGGATAGATCTTAAGATGAAGATGGACAAAACAAAGATCATGTATAACGTCCATGTCACACCTATGACAGTAGTTGTTGGGAGCACTAAGCTCGAAGTTGTTGACGAGTATGTTTACCTGGGACAAATAGTCCGACTAGGTAAGTCCAACTTCGACCGAGAGGTCAATCGACGGATTCAACTCGGCTGGGCAGCGTTCGGGAAATTACGGTACATCTTCTCATCAGTTATACCTCAAAACTTGAAAACGAGACTGTACAACCAGTGCGTGTTGCCAGTGATGACCTATGGATCTGAGACGTGGTCCTTCACTGCTGGCCGGATGAGGAAGCTCAAGGTCGCTCACCTAGCTATGGAGAGGGCTATGCTCGGAATTTATCTGCGTGATAAACTTAGAAATGAGGATATCCGCAGTAGAACCAGAGTGACTGACATAGCCCAACGGATTAGTAAGCTGAAGTGGCAATGGGCCGACCATATAGCTCAAAGAACCGACAACCGATAGGGAAAAAGGTTTTCGAGTGGTGGCCTCGTACCGGCGGACGAAGTGTAGGGCGTCCCCCCACTAGATGGAGTGGCGACCTGGTAAGTCATGCAGGAAGTCGATGGATGCAGGTGGCTCAGGACGGTGCTTTGTGGCATTCCTTGGGGGAGGCCTAAGTTCAGCAGTGGTCTTTTAAAACGCTGTAATGATCCTCCACTATGAAACATAACATCCCATTCCCTCTAAATGACATAAATTCCTATTTTTCTACAGGTTCCTCACTCTCTCCAGTTATTAAGTCCCAGTCAATCTTAGAAATTAATTCCAAGGCCAAACCTTTACAAATACCCTTCTTATTCTCGCTTGTCTCTGTTAACGATGTTCGTAAAACATTTGCTTCTATTAAATCAAAAGCAGTGGGTTGTGATAATGTGAGTCGTGCTATGATCTCTTTAGTTCTCGAACTCTTTCTTCCAGTCATTACTCACATCGTTAATTTTTCTCTGTTGTCAGGGGTATTTCCTTCTTTGTGGTGTAAAGCCTATATAATTCCGCTTTCTAAAATTTCAAACCCCTTGCAACTCAATAATTATAGACCTATTTCTATTCTTCCATTCTTATCAAAGATCCTGGAATCTATAGTTCACCGGCAAGTATCAGGTTTTATATATTATAATAACTTGCTCACTCAATTTCAGTCGGGCTTTCGTCCCGGACATAGCACCACCACTGCACTTCTTAAAGTTACAGAGGACATTCGGGATGGCTTGGAGAATAGAAAGGTCACTGTGCTTGTTCTCGTGGACTTTTCTAATGCCTTCAACATGGTTGACCATGATATTCTCCTCGCTATGCTCGGTAATCTAAACTTCTCCTCCATTGCTTTAAATTGGTTCTCCTCCTACCTTTGTGGTCGCCAACAAGCTGTTCGAGTTGGTAATCATTTGTCTGACTGGTGTCAGCTTGTATCTGGGGTGCCACAGGGTGGAATATTATCTCCTTTATTGTTCTCTATTTTTATTAACTTCCTTTCCTCTCAACTTTGCTGCTCTTACCATTTCTACGCCGACGATTTGCAAATTTATACTCAGACTGATGTGGATCACATTAATAATGCTGTTATCAATATTAATACAGATTTATTAAATTTAAGCAATTGGGCTAGCAAATTTGGCATTCTAGTGAATCCTAACAAATGCCAAGCAATTTTGATAGGAAGTGCTCGTCAGTTATCTAAACTTGATATTTGTTCTGTTGCTCCTGTCATGTTTGATGGATCATGCATCCCTTATTCCAGCACTGTGAAAAACCTAGGCCTCTGTATGGACTCAACTC